CTTACTGAACCGTAGCACTATGCAAATGTCATGTGGCGTGATTCCCGGCCGACCAATTAGCCATCACCAGCCGTAACGTTATGCAAATCTGTGATTCCCAAGCCATAGTCTTAAGCATATCATGCCGTGTGGCGTAATTGTCTGCTGACCAATCAGTGGCTGTACTTTCAAAAAGCCAACAGCCACTTTCAACCACCTGTCGATGACCGTTACCACTAAAAAAACTTCGCTAGGTCTTACTTTCAGGGGGAGGTCTTATATTTCGCAATTCAGCAAAATCTGTGCTAGGTCTTATTTTCTACAGATGTCTTATTTTCGGAGAAACACGGTAATATAAAAAGTTACTTTATTTAGAGAAAACTCAACTAAAGGCCTCAAATAATGTTGAAATTGACTCTAAATCAGCATGTACTAATTTGGCTTATAGATAAATTAATGTGGCCATTTTGTATAAATATCAATAATTAGAAATTAAATTTAATTAATTTCTAATTATTAATATTTATATATGAAGATTTTTGGCCTAAAGAAAGATGACTGCTAAGTTTAACAAATAACTTAATATCCCCGTGCTTCTTTATGCAGCGAGAGTGTAGCGAAATGATGTCACAAGAAGTGTTGGCCAACTAGAAACCAGTTTCAGTGTATTTGCTGTAAAATGCTTCTCAAGCACTGCATAAAGAAATGCAGGGTATGCTAAAAACATCCTGCATAATTTGGTTTATCGTTTGGAATTAAGACTGGTTTCTATTATATAAAATCATCAAATATTTTGGATGTAATTAAATATCAAAACTAAAAAAGTGGCAGTTTTTTTAAATAACACTACAATATTAAATAAAATCAGGAATCTAAAGCATAAAATACCTTTATTCTTTACACTGCCTGTTAAAAAAGCCAACCTTATCAAAAACTGTAAAGTTAATAGGGAATGTTTTTGACTCCAAGTCAACTTCAGTCAAACTGTTTTTTTGCAAACCAGAATATAGAATGGAACAAAGATAGGAAATCTTGTTCCTTATTAACTTTATAGTTTTCTAAAAGGCTGGCTTTCTTAACAAACAATGTAAAGAAGAAAGATATTAACTATGATACCAAATTTTATAAGTTGTGATAAAGCATAAAAAAAATAAATCAATAAAAAAAAAAAAAGCTTTAGAAAATTATCAAATATGTAGTTTTAGAGATGAAAACTTCAGTCACAACCTCACTAATATCAATTTTATTTCTGAAGTGGCGTTGAAGTTGGTAGTGGTGGAGTAACGACATTTCTTGTTATTTTTAAAGCAAATAACAGACCCGCTGCAATGTGTAAAAAGTCTGTATCTGTATGACTATGTGAAGAAAGTGTTCCTCCACCTCCTCCCCCCAACATCTGACTACCCNAGTTGTGATAAAGCATAAAAAAAATAAATCAATCAAAAAAAAAAAAAAAGCTTTAGAAAATTATCAAATATGTAGTTTTAGAGATGAAAACTTCAGTCACAACCTCACTAATATCAATTTTATTTCCTTTTAATATACATTAATCTAAAGTCAACACATAATTAAAGTAATTTTGTTTCATGCAATTTTCACTAGTTATAATTTTTCTTTATACAATAAATCCTCTAAATCTCAAATTTGAAGGGATCAAAAAATGGTCAGTTTAAGATATGGAGCGTTCTACATATGGAAGTATACGAATAATAGTAAATTTTTTATTCAGACTCAAAGTAGCAAGTTATAGAATAAGGAACATAATTCTGTGATATATGTAAATCCATGATATTTATTTGAATCATTATTAGAATATATAAGGCTGTAATCATGATTTAAGCATATCATAAAATTCTCTTTCTATGTTATACTGAATTTATTTAAAAACCAAATTTTGCATAATACATTACATCAAATTTCTATATTGTTCACGTTCACAAGCAATTAGTGCATTGCCTGGTAAAGCAACTAACACAGCTAGATAAGCAAGCAAATGACAATCCATTTCAAATGGAATGGGGTATTATTGCTTGCTTAACGAACTGCACTAAAGTCACTTTACCAAGAATGTGCAGAAAGGATTCATGGAACGTAATACAATAAACTAATGTGTTAATCAACTTCTTGTATGTACTATAATTTTATTTTGTTTTTAATCCAAAATCCAGTAATCTAACACTCATTGGTCCAATATATCTTAGATTACAGAGATTTTATTGTGTGTCTACATACAGGTATCACTCAATTAGTGTGATTAATTAATCTCTTTATGTTATTGCATATATCAAAATTGCATTAATCAAATACAGTGGTACTGTACCTTAGTACTTGACTGAACAGTCATGACCGGCTAGAACAAATTTTTGGTTAATAAATATTTTTATTTTACTTTAAAAGTTTTCTATGATAAAAATGAGTAGATTAATTTTAAAATAAAACAAAACCTCAGAACTGCCTACCTTTGTCAGTCAAAATTATACTCAATCCAGGTTTTTTTTCCATTTAATGCATGCAGAACATAATCATTATGTCTGTGACACTAAGATTTGTTGCAAGTTCATGAGTTATTCATCAATTTTGAATAATTTCTTCTTGAAATTTCTCTTCATCAACAGCTACACATTGGGCACCCTATACATTTTGTATCCTTTAGTTCAAAATTTCCTACACGAAATTTTCAAAACCACATTTGACATGTGTGATGTTTAGAAGCATCTTCCCCATAAACATTACAAGTATTCTTTACTGTTTGTATAGTGTTATATCCTTACAAAACTTAAAACACCTACATAATATGTCTGATATGCATTTTATCTGCAAATATTTTGATTTGATTTTATGCAAACAAATTGTGAAGTTTTAAAATAAATGCTTTTAAACAGAGAATACAATATCACACTAGCAGTAATGTATTAAATTTCACAATTATCATAATTAAACTACTTATCTATATTGGAAACACCCTCAGCACGAAACAGAAAATTCATCAACACCTTATTTGTTGAGAAAAACATGTTGATATTAAATAAAGACAGCTGTTAAAGCCATTTTAATTAAAACTGCTGCCACATATATAAAGAGTTAATCATATGTTAATCAAATCTTGCATTAAGCAAGAGATTCCTATAACATAAACTGAAGTGTAATTCTGATTATATATATAAACATATATTTTTTGTTTGAAAATTTGTTCTAGCCAGTCATGATTGTTCAGTCAAGTACTAAGGTACAGTATCACTGTATTTGATTGATGCAATTTTGATATATATATCATAAAGTATAATTCTGGCAACATAAAGTATAATTCTGATGTACAGATATATATATATATATCCAGTGGTGATATTCAGCGGGTTCGCACAGGTTCGGCCGAACCCGTTGTTAAAATTTTCAAAGTGTTCCGAACCCGTTGTTAAACACACGTAACATTTCTCAGTGGTTTTGTTTCTTTTAAAAAAATATATTTAAAAATACGTATTATACTCTGTAACACTACTAAACTAGAGCCTTATACCCCGTTCGCCATGGTGCAACCTCCATCGACCGTTTCAATCTCGACTGAAACGAGATTTAATCGCGACCGACTCAAGAGAGTTCTTGAAACTAGGTCCAGTCATACGAGAGATCCCACAATCCCACGCGCGCGAGAAAATACAAGATGGCTGCGGAACACGTGTCGGGCTATCGACAGCGAAATAAAAAAGATATTGTATTTCGAGAAACGATGACATCTGTCTATTATTATAATAATACCTAATGATAAAATAAATGATTTAGAAAAGTTTTTTCTTGAGAAAAAGTCACAGGGAAAGCAGTTAACCCCTCGGGACTCTAGCAATTTTTGATATTAATGTAATTAAACATAAAAAATATACTTAAAACTGAAAAAAACGAAAGAAATGCGTTAATTTTGAAGAGAAAGCTTCAGATTTTATTTTCCATTGTTTCGCCTTTCTGCGAAATCTGACGCTGATGAGTCATTGTTTACACAGCTGGATGACCTTGAACACAGCTGGAGTTGGATTTCCCGGGACATTCTCTCAGAAGTCTCGGGAGGCGATGGGTTTATAGTAGGGTGAATACTAGCTGGCCGTATATTTTTAAAAAATTAAAATTTTTATTGCGATTTTCGACCCCCCCCGACTTAATTAAACTTATAGACTATATAATAAAATATATTAATTAAAAAAATTTTAAAACTATCGGAGGTCGTTTTTGACATTAGAAACTAGCTTTAAATAACTTTACCGAAGAAAAATTTGTGCACTACAACTTTAGAACGATGAATAAAATTTGATATCAAACTCTCATTAAAAAACAATTAAAAAGCAATTAAGCGTGAATCGTGCGTCATTAAAGATAAATTAAAATCGCGATAAAATTCTTTCGCGCGGGAAAAAAATTTGGAGACTTAAAATACATTCCAAAAATTAAAAAAAAATTTTAGAGGGTTCAAACGCCCGAGTTTTATGTAACGCTATGTAACTTGCCCGAGATATCTCGGGCTTGGGGCTTTAAGGAAAACTTTTCTGTTAGCGAACCCTTTGTTGAATATTTCGAATATCACCACTGTATATATCTGTACATAAAGTATAATTCTGATGTACAGATATATATATATATATATCTGTACATCAGAATTATACTTTATGTTGCCAGCGTAAATTGTTTAAATGTTTAACTCAATTCGAAAAACATACAGAACATGGCCAAGTTATCATGAAATGATATGTAATAGTTATCAACTACAAAAATAAATATTTAGTAATAATGGTTTTAAGGATAAAACATTATGAAATGCATTGATGAAACATATTGAAATGTCTGAAAAATTAGATAAGCTTCCAACTGATATCTATAAAATGGAAAATACAGTACAAAATAACAAATTTAAACATCAGTGTTTAATGTTGCTACATATAATTCTGTTGCCCAGTTAACCATCACCCAGCTGACAAATACCCTAATTTTCTGTTTCTGAAGGTTTATCAATGCAGAAAAAGAAAAAAGTTTAAAAAATGTTACCACACTTACATTGGTGGAGAAATAGGTTTAATTAATCACTTTGTTTCAAAGGTATGTTGAAAATACTGAAATGTGTATGCATAATTCTATTTTCATAAATCCTTAACACAACATACAGGATTCAGAAATCTTAATGTGCAAAGATCAATCTTCTTTGAAAAATATATTTATTTCCAGACTATACACACAAATGAGTCCAAATCCTTCAGTCCTTTCACAAGCTTTTGAAAGAAATATATTTTTTTCTAAATGTGAATTGATCCTGGCAATTTTTTAATTTAAATCAATCTTCTTGCTAACATTATCAATCTTTTAAATTTAAACCAAACTACAAACATTACTGACACACATATAATTAAAAACTACTCTCTTCTATTTTCTGTACAAATTGTAATTTATGAAGCCAAATTTTTATTTATGTACTGTACTCTTTATCATATTGCCTTTTTCCATTTTTAACTTTATAACATATTAATGTATGAAATCATACATTAATAAACTATAATTCTTTATAATGAAATAATTCATTGAGCTGTAGTAATAATTCTTTTCCAGAAAATATGTCTAAAAAAACAACTAAGTGTTCATGTTAAAATTCAATATATAAATATGTTATTTAATGTGCAGAAGTTTGTGTTAATACCATAATCGGCCAATGTGAGTATATAAATAATAATCATCACTAAGCCCAATGAGTATATGAATTACCAATGATCACCATTGAAAGATTGTGCTATAATTCGGCTAATTAAATGATTAATATGGAATTAATATACTTCTAGAAGCGAAGACTTGCTCAGGGTCTGGGTGGCATAACTGGCAAGAGCACTGCACGGCAAGAACCTTCTGGAATAAAAAAAAAAACTGGCCCTGCCTTGGGCCAGTTTTTTTTTTATTCCAGAAGGTTCTACATTATTTATTAATTTATTAAAAATTATAATTATTAATTTAGTTAAGATGTTCCATCAAAATAAATATTGAAGATATTCTGAATATTGGAAAGCCCACAGAAGACATGGCTAAAAGTGCAGCAAATAGATGCAGAATTTGTACTTTTTGTCCATCTAAGAAATGCAAATGACACAGTACGTATGCAACTACTACAACATGGCTATTTGTGGAAAGCACACTTTTAACATCTGCCAAAAGTGCAAATGCTAATTTTTACCACCTTTCTATTTTTTTATAATACTTCTCTTAAGATACACTAATTTGTTTGAAATAAATAAAGAAAATATAAAAATATACTTGTTTTTAATTCATATTCTATGAGTCGAATGATTAGTTACAGAGTAACATTAACTAACTTAAATCCATTGATTTTAGTTTTAATAACTTATGGTACAACGTAAAATTTTATTACAAATATTTATATTTTATAAATTAAAAAAATAACAATATTAAATCATATAGGTATCTCTTATGTTACACCACTTCACTTTTATAAAAGACCTACATTAGTATCTGTTCTCACTAACCACAAGAACCTACATTAGTATCTGTTGTCACTAACCACAAGAAATACAAAAAGGATTTTCATTTTTATGATAAAGAGCATAAAGTAAAAGGGCACTTAATATATTATGTCTTTGTCCACTTTGAACTTTCTTGTGAACTGGAACTTGTTATAATGAGAGAAGTAAATCACACAATTTCTAGGTAAAACACCTTTAATTTAACATTCATTTTAAGTCTTCTCAGTTCTTCGTCAACTTGCATGTCCTCAATTTCCCTCAGAATATAGGCTTCTTTTAATTTCCTTTTTTACATTTAAATATATATGCTTTTTTTTTTGATTCACTAACACAAGGTGTGTTTCTATTTCAACACTTGGCGATATTCCATCTTTATTTAGTTGATACGGTTACAAGTACAATAACATGTTTCGGGCACTGCCCCTCTTTAGTCAACTAAATATCAAAAGATTATACATAAATTCATTTTCCTATTATAGCTTAACATAGAAATTATTTTAATATTAAATCAATAATTCTTTTTGTGTGATGTACCAGAAGCACTTTTTCAACACAGAAAGCATATACATTTATAAGACTAATGTAATATTATATATCCGGTTTTGGTCTTGGGGCATTCCTACAAATTTTATAAAATTGCATTTTATTTTACATATTATAGAAATCTATGTTTTTCCACTGATTATTACATACCTTAAAATTTTGGTTGTTCTTTTTTACAATGATGTGTTTAAAATCTTTGTAAGTAAAACAGGCTTTATGCTTTTTGTCAATTACAAAACAAGGCATGTATGCTTTTTGTCATTAATTACTTATATTATACTTTAATTAAGTAATAAGTAATTATACTTATTACTTAATTACTTCACAAGAAAGTCTAAAGTGGACAAAGGCAAAATATATATGTTACTGTGAATGACCAATATCTGGCAAATGTCAACATTCTCCAGTGAACGTCAGCATTCACACAGTCGTTTCATGTATGTACGAAATATTTGCTAAATATCATTATTTCTCACTTACACTGGCAAATGTTGACATTCAGCATGCGCTGATGGTGAATGTTGAATAAAAATATTTTTATTATGTTAAGACAAAAATGCAACTTTTTAATATGTCAAAATAGGAGAAAGCTTTAATAAAATTAGTTATCACTTCACGCTGACTTTATAATCATTGTAAAATCACTTACGTGTTGTGGCATTACCACGGTGAATTATTAAAACATAAATATAAAATGTTCACGAGCACTTTCGGTAACATACAGTTACCATCTTCAGGTAAAATGAATACTACAGTTTCTGTATCAGAGTTATAGCACTTCTTTTACGGAAAACATGCAAGATCATAGCTGTCCCAGGGATTAATTCGTCTTTGACAGGTCCTCTACAACCTCCAAAGAATATAGTTTGTCCCAGATTATTTTTTGAAGTGAAAACGCACAAGCATAATTGGCCTTTAAGACTGCTAGTCAATAAATGCACTCATCCAAAACATACCATTTCGAAGCCACCACAGCTAAATTACTTACCTCCTTAATACCCCCTTCTAACTTGGTGACCACAGTCTCTATACATGCCAAGACTGTTATTTCTTCTACTCTAAGAGATCTTCCAACTAATGCATAACACTTATTTAAAGTCAATGCCGTTTCCCTATTCCTGTCCATACCTTATTTTGAGACTTTCATGCTCACTAATACATTGCTACTTAATTCTGGCTTTCCAGCCTCACATGTAATACAATTACGTGAAGCCCTTTTACTTATAACGGAGAACAATTATTTTCGGTTTAATTAATGGTACCATATATAAACAGACACAAGGGGTACCAATGAGTTCTCCACTTTCACCCATCCTAGCAGAGCTAATCATGCGCAACATAGAACAGTGAGTATTTGACGCCCCTTTAACCATCCAATATCCCACCTTATACTTACGTTATGTTGACGACATTTTAATCACGTGAGATGGTTCCATCGAAAATTTAATGCTATTCATAAAAATGTTGGCTTCAGTGTATGCATCCATCAACTTTATGCTAGAAGAAGAGTCCAATACCAGAATGTCATTCCTTGATTTAGAGATACATAAATCTCCTGCTCTTCAATTTTCTGTTTATCACAAAAACAATAGTATACCACAGATTATTCCTGCTATGGCCTTTCAACCAATACACTATCTAAACTCGGCCATCACTTCCCTTATGAGAAGAGCATTCCTTCTTCCTTCTAGCAAAGTATTTGTAGAACAGGAAATGCAACTTAACAAAAAAAGCAATGATAAAAGCGGGCTATTCCCAAGCAAAGTTTTATTATCATCAGAATCAAGTTAAAAATAAATTACAAGTATACCTCGCCTTACGTCGGTAATTGGTTCCAGGAGAACGACGTAAGTCGAATTTATTTGTCTCCAAATCTACTTGTCACTAGGCTAAACCATAAATTGCACATTCCGGTTCTGTATTTTATATATTAATGCATTTTTAATAATGTATGGTTAATAACGATATATTTTAAGTTTACAAACAAATAAATTTTAGTTTTTAATATAGTACAGAAAAAAGTAATCTAAATTTACGAATGCATGTACTGTAAATACAGTATATACTTGTAAATGTATATATTTTAATATGATTTTATGTGCTTTAAATGCTTTTCTAGTGATATTACGACTTCAATATTTGTGGCGGACAGACGTAAAGTCAAATAAAATGACTTAAACTTGATTTTTATTTTTCCATATACTTTTTTGACAAACGACGTATAATCGGGAATGACATAACTCGAAACCACGTAAGTCGAGGTATACTTGTATATCCTCAATTGTTCCTTACAAACAAAAAGGACCTAAGGATAGCACACCCCCATTACCATTTCTGGGTCCTGTATTACTCAAAATTGTACACTTGTTTACAAAAATGGCTACATGCTACCGCTATCCACGCAGCCAACATTAAGAAGATTACTAACTAATGACAGAGACCTCATCAATATGAAAGGGAAATTGGGAGTTTATCTTATTCCATTACAACTTAATGGATCAAGAGAAGATACTTATTATATAGGAGCGACTGCTATAACACTAACATCATGCATCTCAGAACATCAGGATGACATCCGTAATAACTGGCCATCAACGGAATTAGCGAGAAAAGTCCTAGATTAAGACTACCAGCCAGTTTGGGACTAAACAAAACTATTGAAAGGATGCAATAATCATAAAGAGCTCTTTATTTGGGAAAACCTATATATTTCAATGCTTTCAACCATGCAATACCACAACTTTGGAATTCTCTAAAACATGGACTACTTTATTTAAATGTTACAAATTAGATTGCTAGAGCTACATGGTCACATAGCAACCATAGTTTGCAAATTTCTATAATTTTCCGTTCCATTCCGAAACATTTTCGAACTGCAAGAAAATTTTGATTTACATTGGAGTTCCATTTAGCTGTACCGCTTTTTCAAGAAGTGCTATAACTCTGATACAAAAAACTGCAGTATTCATTTCACCTGAAGATGGTAACTGTATGTTACCAAAAGTGCTTGTGAACATTTTATATTTATATTTTAATAATTCACTGTGGTAACGCCACAACACGTAAGTGATTTTACAATAATAGGAGAAAGCTTAAGTAACAGCACATGTAAATAAACTGTTGAACCTAAAATGAACAGTACATTCTTAATCAGAAAAGAATAATAATATGCAATAGTAAACTTACACATATATTATGTGATTAATGTTATACAATCTTATTTATTACAACAACTTAAACTGTTATGACACTTTGAATTGCACAAGAGTCCCTTGCTTTTACAACTGCATTTATTTGTGGAACACTTCTTTTTGCAATGACAGTATGTATAGCCGTGCCCTCCGCTTTTCGAATTAGCTGCAGCTGCTTCTCTCAGCAATATTTCTTGAGAAGAAATCTCATCTATGGAAAGTAACTTTTCTTTACAAATTACGAACTGATTACATTATTACGTGATTACGAACTGATCTGTTAATGGTGTCTTTTATTCGAATATCACCAATGCCTTACCGACGATCCCTCTCATCCTCCGCCACTCAACCTGACAAACCAATCCCCATCTCACAGGATCAAAAGAACAAAAATGCTATCCAGGGACAAGGTGGGTGGTTTCCACCAAACTGTTGCTGGGAAAAGCGGTATGACCTTGTCCTACCCCGGCTACACACAAAGGATTTGGCAACAGACTGTCGCCTCTCTGTCAACATCGGCTTCTCGGGTGTCATTTCGACCTCCACCAAAGCTTATATGTGCTTGTCAACATACACCGGTGATTGTTTGAATATATAATAATATAACCAAATATTCAGTCTTTCACCAATGTATTTTGTATGTGTCAACATTCACTGGAGAATATCAACATTCTCTAATTTTGGTCTTTCACAGTAATTAAGAAGCACGTATTTAAATAGCACTTAGTGTTTATTTCACAGCAAACTATAACTGTTTGAAATTTTATTAGTACTAAAGATTATATATTTCACTTGTTGTATGAGTTCAGCCATTACAACAATTGACAATTGGGTTCAGCCATTACATTCATAATTATTATTTATGAATATAAAACCCTGCATTAAGTATTTAATCCACATACAGTTATTAGCAATTAAAAAACAGAAATATACAAAATAAAACTTTAAAAAAATCAATTTCATATACTTTGTCAAACATTTTTAAGTTTATGGAAACGAGAAGTGACACTAGCTACTTGTACTGACCTGTAATTCATCATTCAGTAGATTTTCTACAAGTACAGAGCATATCACTGTTCTTTTAGAGACGTTGAGTCTGCTGCATATAGTTAATGTACTGGTAACTTTTTTGTTGATCAAACACATCAATTCATATTAAATTTAAGTTAAATTTAGTTAATAATATATTATTGAGCCTTGACTTAATATTTTCTTTTCTATATTTTCTGATAATTTTTTGAATAGCAATAACTTTTCAGTAAATATAAATTCAATAAGAATTAAATTTCAAATTATCAATAGTAAAATGATGGCAACTATTGACCTAAATACTCAGATACTGCTAAAAACAGCTATTGTTTGATGATGAATAAGGATAGGGAAACAAATTATATTTTTCAATACTGTAATATATAGGCTACTGTATTTTAAATTTATCAACATCTTTAAAATTGCATTCATTCAGATATTCTAATCTGTCTTCAACTACTTTTTTCATATTTGAATATAAATTATATTGCTAGATCAATAACTAATATAAATTGATCTAATAAAAGAATAATTTAATATTTAATTTGATATTTTTCTTATTTTCATTAATAATATTTATCAAGATTTTTTTTAGAATCAAAACCAACAAAATATGATTAAAAATTATAATATACACAAGTATTATAATATAACAAATTTTCAACTATATTTTAAATTTTTATAAGTCAAAAATTAATTTTAAATTTCTAAATTAATTGGTCTTAAATTCAAGGAGATACAATGGTATGACCTTCAGGCCCAATTAAAAATAGCTGGTCTTTTAAAAACAGTTATTTTAAAAAAATCTTTGCTCAATTTTTTCATAGAGAATTCTTCTGATATTCTCAAAATGAAATGACCAATTTTTAAAATTATTGTTTTAAATGTCCAAAAAATAAAACTTCTTTGAAAAATTCTAACTTTAAGCCTCCCAAGACGTATGACCTTTCATTAAAGTATATTTAGCTCTCTTAAAACAGTCTAAAAATTCAAATTCAAAAGACTTCAAGAATTAAATAGTCCTTCAGAAACCTTTGTCAGGAATTTTTACTTTCTTTAAAATGTCCTAATTTTGTCTTACCCAAGTTGTCATATACAAAAATTTTGTCCAGGAACTTTCAGACTTTTAAGAAATTTCAACATAAGCATACATTTTTCTAATTACATTTTAATTAGTGATGTGCCGGATATCCGTATCTGCGGATATCTGAGGGGAAAAAATCCATATCTGTATTTGTTACTTTTTAGCGGATCTTTAACAGATCTTTTATCTTAATGAATTTCATTACTCAGGGGTGCACAACCTGCGGCCCGCGGGCCACAGACGGCCCCCTATCAATGTTTATGCGGCCCGCGGACGGTACAGGCCAAATCCCTTCTTTCGAAGTTTCTAAGTGTAGAACTTTTTCCCTTTCACAAAGTCATTAGCACCCAACTGTTTTATGACTTTCCCTGAGGTGAGAAATGGGGGATTGTTCTATAAATAAGTCTATTTTTAGCTAACACTTTCTGCTTTAGATATCGAATATTTTAAAATGATGTTAGAACGTCATTTCCGATGTTATCGGGAAGTTTCTATTTTGGCGG